GTATACCGATCGGCACTGTTCATACTTGACAAAACATTTTAGTCGAGAGTCAAGGTGGTTTTTAAACCTTTTTCGCTCAGTTGCGATTATAATATAATTTTCTGTTATTTATGTAGTGATATAATATTTTATATGATCATCTATATTACAAAATTATTATCTGGTATAATCCTCGGTGTATAGTTATCGATTCAATTCATATTTTTCCTATACGGTATGAAATTTGGCCGTCATGTTTAAACTTTTAATAAGGCGTATTTCATTAAGGCAGAAAAGCTAATAACTTCAGGTTGTTGCTACAACACGCGTGATGAGAAGCTGGTCTTCAGTTTCAGTTGCTGTTACTAATTTTTGTCGAATATCAGCCCAGTGATTGTCCACATCATAGGCAGAATGAAGAATGATCTTTGCTTCGAGCTGTCATAATCTCATTTTCTTCTGGTGCTGTGGAGCAAGAAGAAACAGCGACCTAGTTGAAATTCGTCTGCTTATTTTGGGCCCTCTATTTGAATGGTCTTCGAACCGGTTTTGTTCTTGTCAAAACAAAATTTCTTTCGAGCGCAGCGCAGTTCATAAATACGCAAATAACTCGCCTGAAACTGGATATAAACAAATGAGAAAAAACAGGTTTTAATCAAACAGACGTAAATTATTGTTAAGTCGCTGAACTAACTCGAAAACAGCTCTAATTACAGCGCAGTTTGGTCCGACGGTGGCATGCTTGGTGACGGCTAAAGAATTCTGATAAATTTGTTGACGAAGAAGAATGTCTGTTGAGTACGTAATTGCTTTTGAAAAGCCCCTTGCGCGTTTCCTTTCAAGCGAAATTGTCGACAAGTGATCGATCTGAAACGTCTGCGAAATCACCTGGTTCTAAAACGAAGTGCATTTAAGCTTTCTAGTCATTTAGATTTGATTTCAGTTTTATCTCGTAGTCCATCTTCTCAGTAAAGATATGACAAGAAGCATTCAAATTGTAAGAATTGTGAAAAGAATTCCTTACTAATATAATGGTTGTGGCCTATCGAAAGCGTATGATAGACAAGGCTTTCGTTATATAGGCATGCGAATGTCTAAGCAGAGACAACGGAAAGGGTTGTCGCCGTCTGAAGATTCTATTAGGCTATTAAAACAGACCCTGTCACAACCACCACATCCGTATCTATCTCCTGAAATCAGAGCTCGAAGTATAGAACCTCTCTGCCTACTGAAGCTTCGTCATCAAAATATGCGTTGTTAAGCGGTAGTCCTTTGTTGAACGTATTTAATAGTTAAGCTTCTGCGACAAGATTGTTGAAAATGGATCTGATTTGATGCCAGACGGCAGTCGCTTCTTGAAATGTGTATCACTCTGCCAAGTGAACCTGTTGAAGACGGCATGTGTTGATGAAAACACCAAAAATCATCTCGGCAAGGATCAGGTAGGACTAGTATTTTTACAATGAGCTTCATTGAGCGCAGCAGTTGTTTATGGCTTAACTGAAGGCACAAGAACTTAATGTTTACTTATTTTTCTTTTACCAATACCGGACTCCTTATGTCTAGTCATTTAGGGGTTGATTTGAGCCGATTGCGGCTCCATGGGATTTAAGCGCATGCAGGGCGTCATATGCACCACCGCATCTCCTAATTAGTCTGAACAAGGGCGTATTCGAGCATGAACGAAATTTGCCACTATCCGTAGGCAGCTCTACGAATAAAACAAGACAAAGCATAATAACTCTAATATTCTGAGCATAATAATTCTAATATTCTGATATTGTCGACCTGCCATGATCGGGTACCACATTTAAGGCGTGATGCGGAGAGATTTGCTTGAAGGTGCAAATGCACCTCAGGAGCTTAAATACTATGGGGCCGTAAAAATCAGGTAGCAGTAATTGAAATGGCAGAATTGAACAACTTCCACCCCACCCGTCGTAATTACCTCAGAACATTACAATTATGTTTATCTTATTTTGTTAACTTATGTTGTATTTTCCTTTCCACCATTGTGGTGGGCGAACTAACTTGTCTAACCTCATCCACTTAATACCACAGGAAGTTCATTCGACCTCCTGCAAACTGCACGTTCACCGGTTCCAATTGTCAATATGTTAATTTTTTTCAATTCTTTTTGTATTGACCAAAAGTTCTGTTTTTTGTTCGCACGATGTATAGAATGCATTTAAGTACAACCATGACCAGATTTAGTTAAATAGCAAATCTGAACAGTGAGCGATTGTTCTGCTTTCCTTTATGCAATGCGTATATATGCATCCTCATACGCATTTTTGTTTTGGTGCGTGATTATGTAAAAGATCATGATCGATTCGTAGATATTGTAGAACTGGCAGTTTAGTTACTTAAAGGTTTTGTCTCACTGCCTGTGTCTAATTGATTATCGTAATGCTTTAAATTTCCACATTCTACATTGGATGCATTCTGTGCATTGGAAACGTCGAATATGGCCAAATACCGTGCTCAAAGTAAAACAGTATATGAAGGCACTGCAGTGCTAAGCTGACATTCAACACATGCCTTAGTCAATGCCTCTATGTTTCTGTGAGCAACAGTACAGTTCAGAGAAAATATGTTTATTAGTGTGCGTAGATTTCAAATATTTACTTATAGTCAGTTCTTAGCAAATTATGCGCATACGACGATACACTCATCGCCTTGACTGTGCCTGACTATTCTATCCATGTTCAGCACAAGCAGGAGAGGGGGACAGGACGCAGCTTTGGCGGAGATCCAGTGCCAACGTTGAAATGTTTCGACTTTAAGCCATTTACTCTGACGCTGCACCTGCTACCAGAATGCAGTGATTAGATGACCCCTAGCAACTTGCCATTGATCCCATATGTTTGCAGGCAGACCCGCAGACTGGCTATGCGGGATCCAGTCCTAGCCTTTCTCTAGGTCAACAAGGCATATGGCGAATATTTGGTCATATGTGCTTTATCTGAGCCGGAAGCCTCATTGCTTTTCTAGAATTTTAAAATCACTGATTCCGCGGTACCTCTTTTCTGCACCTATGTGCAGTTTTTCCTCAGAAGGCTCAATGAGGTGGGCGTCCCGATGATTGAACTCTCCCCATTGTCTGCGTTTTTGAACAGAGCACTGCAACCCCCACCCCTTCAACCTGTTTCAGTTCGCTAGAGTCTTCCCCGTAACCACTGCAGTTTGATATCCGTGTAAGACAGCAGATGCCTTGTTCGCCTAATGCTTGAAGCGTTTCACTGATTAATCGGCCTTGCCATTTTGCAGGCTCATTGCAGCGTTAGTGTCTTCCTCTACTGAAAGACTAATATCCGTTGCCTATTGTTCTTCATGCGATTCTTCTTGCAGTAGCTGTGGGTTGATCAATTCATCGAAATATTCCGTCTATCTTAGAAGCATGTCGTGATTATTGGCAAAAAGGCGTCTGAAACTCTCCCTCGTTACTCTAACGCTGCCCTTCTTTCCATTTCTTAGGCGGAATAGGGTCTGCCGGAATACCTTCTTGACCCTCTGGAAATCTTACTCCAGAATCTCAGCGAAGTTTCCCGGGAATCGGCTTTCATTTCGACTGCTGCTTTCGATGCGTCTTCTGAGCTTCTTCGTACTGCATTCGAATTGAATGGTTCTTGTTTCCACCTCTTGAATTCACGCTTCTTCGCACTCTGGCTCAGTCAATTGAACCTCTTCTGCCCAGCAGTAAGTTCGTTTCTGATCTCAAGACGTCAGGCCAACATGTTAAATTTAAACTTGAACATTCGGCAGCAACCCCGAGTTAGCTGAATACTCCCTCGGTCTGCAATCCCCGTCCTTCCTCACCCGGGCTTGGGATTGGCAACAGTTGAGTTTCGGCATACTTCAGCGATCTTTAGTTCTTGGATGGTCCAACTTTCAAATCCGTAATTTTCAGCAGTTTTGATTCCAGATTCTTCAACGTGTAGCTTGACGAGTCTTTGGATATGATATTCAGTTTGTTGTTAACAGATTTTATGTGCTGTTAATAATGTCAATTATTTTACTCGTTTACATTTGGTCTGCAAATGAGATGATGTTACAATCTCGTTGCGGTACTCATCAGTAAAAGAGATTTATTCGTGCAGACGTTCTGCTTCCGGCAGGCAGTCCCGTTGTAAGTAAATTACATGTCATTTGTTGAAACATTACTGTAAATTTTGGTTCAGTTTTCGATCGAAGAACCGGAGAACGTCATTAAATATTTAGTTATGAGTACAATTGTGGTCAGTCAGGCATTTATTAACTTATGATATTTCAGAGTACCATACGTGTATCGTTAGTCTAAACAGGCTTTTCTTGATGAATGATCACTATTACGTCATTAATCGTAATTGTCATCCTGATCATTACCGTCTTCAGCATCGTCTTCTTCATAAGAGTACATGATGAACAATAATACTATTACTTTAGCTAAGGGACTATCGCTACCTACTGTATCTGACCCGTCAAGGGATATGATAGCGCAGTGAGCATTCGCCTCAACTGATAACGGATACTCTAGTCAGCAAACCAGCGAGAGCGAACCCTAGCTAGAAAATCTTTACACAGCTGGAGTATCGACCAAATTCGGCATCAGTAGGTTACTACCAGATTAACTGGCGACATGTGCTGATGTTTTGGTCTTCACTCCGTATCCCAAACTATATAGTGTCATAGCCACTAACTGTCTTTCGCCCCTTATTTGCATTTGCATGCGTTACTCACAGGTGACTCGTAATAATCTTCCTGGCAGAGTCTCCATCGCCGAGGTTGTTTATCGGTTTTTTATAACGTTAATGCCTGATCAACAGGCCATCACTCGATACAAGCAGAAGCAGACTGAAGATGTACTACTGCATCTTAAGTCAGAGCTATTGTTTTCTTTTGCTTAGCGTTGTTAAGTGGACATTTACTTATGCAGTAATCACGTAAAAGTTTGGATATCGTCTTAGTATTTTAGAGAGTGGCGTAAAATGTTTGTGATCTGAACTTTTAGTGAAAAGATAGTGAAGATTTTTATTCTTAAGGGATGGTGAAGAGAATGCGATGAGGAAGATTCGCGAGTTCGTATCGCGCTACCAATTGAGGCAGCAGGCAATAGCCGCGATGACCGGTATCTCGCAGCCGTACGTGTCTAAATTTCTGAACGGCAACGCCAGAGATCTGTCTGATCGGGTGCGAAACCTGATGTTCACGTGGTACATTCTGTGCAAAAACAGCCCCGAAAAGCTGGGTGTGTAAACGTTCTGTTTTGCTATTTCATATTATCCGTTTATGTTTATTGTTTTTTTTTAAATTGAAGAAGTTTCTAGGTAAAAAATTTCTCCCAAACGCGCTAATGCATCTGGATTAGGTATTTGTAAATATCAGACCGAAAGTCTGTAAAAGACTAATCTAAAAACTGTATTAGGGTTTCTTCAACGAATGTCGTAGCTCTCTTTGTTACAGTTTGGTCACGAGTTTTGGCAAATAGCTAGCTCCACTCATTAGCCCCCCCTCTCCCTGGAAGCCATCGTCGATTACTACCAAAACTTCCAATTTTGCTAACCTCAGTTTTGATGAGGTTGGCGTCGCATGTATTTTACGATAATTTCGCTCTACCGCTTTGCCCAGAATTTTTGCGTCGCCTCCATTTAATCAGACGGTTGATTGGCATTGACTGACTCGCCTAGAACGGTTTAGGATCAACCGGATTCTGACAGGACAGGGATTCTACGGTCACCTTTACCTCCTTCACGATCGATTGGAAGATGTTAAATTCAACCCTCATGGTGACTGCGGCTGTGAGGATGAGACTATGCAGCACATTATTTCGGAATGCACGTTGTGAAAGTTCGGCAGCAGCGTAACTGATGCCCAGAATGCTACCGATGCGGTCATTCATGAACAGTTAAACATTAAGTTACTTGTGACCTCAGCTCCGCCAGGCATTTTACAGAAGCAAATGAGCTTATCATTATAGATCGATGATTTTCAACGAATCGTTTCCTATTATTCGGCATCACGTTATTTTGTACTTGTAATCAGCTCAATTTAAATGTCAGCCCGCAAACTTATTACGGACTTTATGAGTATCTTTTTTTGTTTTGGCGATATGCTGACAAAAGTTTTGTACGTCGATGAGGTATAGAGTTAAGTGCATGCGTTTCGTCTACGAAATGCGGTCTTTTTCTGTATGCACCTTTAAATTGTTGCATGCATATGCAGGATAGATGAGCAACATCGTACGGAAGATTTTATCAGACTTGTATTTATTTCTTAAAAATAAAAAGTGTTTGCTGAGCACCTGTTGATTCATGGTGTTGTATGTTTGCCGAAATGCGAACATCAGTCCTGTCGAGAAACTTCTTGAAGCTTGTGCCACAAGTCCAAATAATCAACAGTTGACTTAGAAAATAAATGAATGACTTAAAGCGCGGTGATTTGGGCTGTGTGCGATACTTAAAGAAGGAATATACGTGTATCCGTCTTTCTTTCTACGGTATTCAAGTTGTGCAAGAATTGCGGACAGTTCCGCCTCTACCGAAACGCCATATGACAAGAACGTGATAGTGAGGATGAGGAAGTAGACAAAGTGCTCTTGAGGTGGTACTGCCTTTGTCGATGTTGTTCCCACATTCAATGTTTGAACGCGTAAAATGAGATATCGCATGTTGAAGGAAGAAATTTGTTCGAAGGCTCGGAGCTTCATTATTTTAGTCAAGCTAACCCTCGGTTTCTCGTTTCCAGATTTTCTTCATCTTCATGTTTGTTCTGTTTTCAGCCGAGTTACCGACCGACAGTTACAACAGGCTGGCGCTGAGTGATTCCGGTGAGTTGCTACCTCAGCGACGAGAGAGGTTCGTGTTCAAACCAGTGCATGTGCGTATTTTGGAGAAGTATTTCCAAGACGACCCGTATCCGAACCACGCCAAACGAGAAGAGATCGCTGCCAGATGCAACAGCGCCTACAAAGCCTATCAACTCGGTAAGTGTTTGTGTGACTTGTAGCCAGCGCATACTCATCGTCCAGATATCTTGCAACTTGTTTATGCCTTGATAATTAATAATTAGCAGTGACAGCGGTACGTTGTTGCTGAAAATTAGGAAATGAGGACACATCGGATACATGTAGACTGTAATCATAGCTGTCGTTGCTAAACATTTTATTCACCGTTATTTTTAATTAGTGTATTTATGTCTTTAAACTGCGGCTGCTTAGCTGACGTAGGATTAAGTTCTAAAGAGTGCCTAGTTCGAGCCCAATTTAATCATTCGTCTCTTCGTTTTGAGGTAAATAAATGGGTACCATGCCATTCTGTGAGAAGGAAACAAAAGTGAGAAGAGTGAACGCTGCGTTTTGGTCTCCAGTGGGGCAGATGGCAACAACTTCGTCAATTCATACTTCGTGAACTCTGGAAACAGGTCCCGGGCCACATTTTCGAAGTGTTCCTGCAAGGATAGCGGAAAATAGTTTGCCCATGAATACCCACCACCGAAAAGGAAATGATTCCCTTTTACCATGCATGAAGCTATTAACTCTCTGATGAAAATATGTGAAATATTAGTACATTGTATAGTGACTTATCGGTCAGAGGAAAGGCGGTGTTGACTGGTCACCATATGAGATCAAATGCTGCGGCAGTGTCTTTACAAGGAACTCAGCGGCATGTTTCCTCATTCGACAAACTTGTGTGGTTGATAAGATGCCCTGCGATTACGGTCCAGATTTCAATCCTATATTTGTTTAGCGAAACATAAGGTTAAGGCTGTAAAAATTTGACCGAGAGCCGCATTTGCAAAAGAAGATTCAACCTGTTCTGCCGGAAAAGTCCTGAAAATGTTGAAAATAAACAGCTGCAACATTCAGATTTTAAACGTTTCATGTATTGTAGCAAATCGTACGATCAAAGACACCGCTCATGTAAGGTCGTTTCTATCCTCTTATGCTAAAATCAGCAATGATGTCCTTTTTCATTCTTTTCTCCTGATTTTCATGCGCCTACAGTAATTGTATGCAGCCAGTTCAGTGTATATATTTGGGCAGTTACTTAAGAGCATTACTCTAATCTAATATCGTTTGTAGCCTGAAAAAGACCCCATGTAATCAAAGTATTGTACAGTCAGTCAGTCGGTCAGTTTCGATGGCCGCTTATCATTTCAGGTCGCGGAGGCAGCAGCTTCAAACAGTGTCTTAATTGTTCTGATTATCTATCAGCGTATCAGCTCCAGTAGAAGATAACCTGCGTCTGGAGCACTGCCCTTCGATACGTTTGTCCCAAGTTGTTCTTGACAATCCCCGGGGTTTTCGGTGGAAAGGTTAAGCGAGTAGTAACTGTTTTATTGTACCGTCTTATTATATTATGCTGACCACACTACAACGTCATTTAAGACGATCATTGACTTCAATGGCAGAACAAAAATTTAAAACTATTCACAGTGGTTTATTAGATTTTTGGCTCAGTGCCTAAATTTTTTTCTTAAATTAACTTTTCCACATTACCTTCAACTCGCTTGAAAACGTATTTGATTTCTAGGTTCGGATTTGTGCCCCAAAGAGCAGGTGTCGGAACAGATCATCAGCAACTGGTTTTCGAATCGAAGAAAGGAGAAGAAGCGGAAAGGAGGTGCTCTACATATTTTCTGACGACAGACTAAAACGCCTTGTGGCGCCGCTTTAATCATCATAATTTTCTGTTATTAGTGCTGATTTATTCGCCGATCGAAGCGGCGAATGGCGTAGTGCGATTGTCCTTGAAACGCTTTTGGAAATAAGGCAGGAAATAGCGCTTTTTGGTATTTGAGAAAGCGCACAAGCGTGATTTGTTCCTTGACCATATTAACTTTAGAGAGCGCCACTCCTCATCTTTACCGTATTCACGTGAGACTTAAGTTTGTAATGCCAGCCAGTCAAGACAGTTGATAAATTTGATCTGACTCCGTCTTGGTCTTCAACGATGTTTCATAAGAAGAAAGTATGTTTCACAGTATTTGGAGTAATCAGTATCCATCGTAGGTGGTGTTCATGTCACAGCAAAACTTTATCACGCCATGATATCACAGGTGTTGTTGGCGACTTCATTGTGAAAGTTTATAGATAGTCCTGCGTATTCTGATATTAGGACAACGATTCTTTCATAAATGAATTCATCAGACTCACTGAATATGTCCTGATGAAATCTTAAGGACCACACTGGACCACAAACGGTGCCGCTTCTTACTGGAGATTCGGGTCAGACGTGACGCCTGCACTTGGTTCGATCACCGTATGATGTTTTAGCGGAACTTCTTCTAAAATTAGCTGTGCCACAACAACGTACATACATACATACATACATACATCCACACGTCTTGTGGCTGAAACTGTGGACAGGCAAAAATAGGACGATTCGATATGGTCGATCTTCTTAAAAGATGAAAAATGGAGACGAAAGGTATTTTAGTGTATCATTTAGTGTCCAGTATGGAACTGGCAAAATCGATAAATCTTTGAAAGACTTTGGAATAAGTATCATTTTTCTACTGGGCATTACAGCAGGCGCTTAAATTAGTTTTTCATCGTTTATTCGTAGGTCGACATCACTCTTTTTCTATATTGTAGCCTATGAATATTTAAAAAAATCAGTTCTAATCGTCGTCGATGCTGACAGACTATAATATTTCAAAGAGGTAATATCGGTAGTCTTCTGAAAGATGATAGAAATAAGGTAGAGAGTTATTTTAGTGTCATGCAAATGGCATCTCAAGTTTTCAAATATTATAAAGATTTCGTTATCACTTATCGTTAAAGGGACCGAAATTGCTCTCGATCTCCCTTGTGCATTATCATGATGGCGCTTAATAAGATTTTAAAGTGTCTTCGGCACAAAATGTAGTTGGGATCAGGAGGAAAATAACCGAACTGCGTTGAGTTATGGGAAACTTCTTAGCAGTTAAACTTTAGAGGAAAAAGCCTAAGAAAAGTAGTGATAATGCAGCAATTTTACTCCACCCAAGAAGGCAGCCCTCACCGTCTCGTTCATGCTATCCACCGGGAGTTTCACGGACATTGATAGAGCAACCGGCAAAGCTGACAGTCGAGCAGTGTTTCAAAGAAAATACCAGTTATCTAATTGCGTACTCATCAACGACGTCAGTGTCGCTCCATCGCCAGATCAGAAGGAC